TCCCTTGGCCACATTCACCATATAGACGTATTGTACGTTATTGTTTTGAGCCATTTCATCTTTGTCTGAACTTTTCGGGGTATGGATATGATGGGCGTTGTGGATAGTGTATCTTGTGGAAAGTCTTTCTGGTACGACACTCCTGCGTTCTTGATCCTCCATTTATACATTGGGGTTCCTGACATCCTAGTCATCGGGAACAATTTTCAACATGATCAATACAGCAATGGAAACTTTGCACGATGCCGATGTCAGAGCAAGCCTCTCTTTCAAGATTATAAACTTGGTATGTCCAGCGACTCTTCGAAATTGGAAACAAATTATTAGTACTAACGGAACTGGATACATAAAAACAAACTCGAACCCATGTGCTAGTGAGATACGCAGGGCATGCGCTAAACCCCTTCGACTATAGCTCCCTTTGGGGAACGCCGCGACCTAGCTCCCCCGAACCACCCAACAAACCTTGAGCATTCTGCTCACGTCTGAATACTTGCGTTGCACTTCAAAAGTTCAACAGCACTCGCTCCCGTAATGCCTATCAAATGTTCTTATTGTCGCCGCAAATACGCCCGCGCAGGCCCTCACGAGAAACACCTGCGCAGCGCCCATGCCAATCTACCCATACTTCTCGCGTCGACTACACGGCCGACCACCTCGGACGGTCCTTTTCACCAGAGTGAATCTGACCCATTACGCCGCCATGACACTTTCCACCAAATGGATCAGACGGATTCCGACTATGAGTCGGAGGGTGATCCCATGGATTACTTATCTGAGTCGTTGAATCCGGAGGTTACAGAGGAGTCCTGTATGGAATCACGCGGTGTGTTCGACGCGTCCTCAGGGCCCAGCGAACTAGCTATTTTTCCTGGCGCTGGGGAATCCATTGGAGAGGTGAAGGGATTTGAACGAGATAACCACAATCTAGCGGAGGACCCATGGGCTCCATTCGCATGGGCGCACAATTTCAAACTTGCATCTTGGCTTATTCACAGCAAAGTCCCCAAGTCGCGTATCAATGAGTTCTTTTCAAGTGGCCTTGGTAATTCGGCATCCGTCGGCTAGCGTTCAATGCATACACTCGAGAACCACCTCCGTATACTGGATCCATATGGGCCGTATCTGCGATGGTACGAAGGAAAAGTGGATGATGGCATGAGAACGTTACCTTTCTTCCACCGTGACCTTCTAGATTGTCTCCGATATCTTCTTCGTCAGATGACCTATAGAGAAGATCTTATTTACGCACCGCAACATGAATACGATCACAATGGACACAGAGTGTATGCTGAAATGCATACCGCAGACTGGTGGTGGGAAGTTCAAGTACTATACCAATTTCTTATCACCTTTTGACTAAAGATCTAGCTAACCTATGACAGGAAACCCTTCCACATGGCGCCACGGTTGTTCCAATTATCGGGATGTCCGATGAGACCCATCTCACCAACTTCTCCGGTGACAAGAAGGCCAGGCCAGTGTACGTTACGATAGGAAATCTTGCGTCGACTAGGCGTAACAGGCCCGGATCGATGGCTATCCTCCTTCTTGCGCTCCTACCAGTCCCTCCTAAGTTGCCCCAGTCGGCTTCAGCAAACAGATCTGAGAGAGAAATCAATGCCGACACCCTTAAAGGCATATTCGAACTCTTATTTGAGCCCTTGCAAGATGCTACGCGCGATGGCGTCCCAACTGACTGTGCAGATGGGAACGTCCGGAGGTGCTTCCCGATATTGGCTGCGTGGATTGCGGACCATATGGAAAACGTCGCCCTTCATGGAATAAAATCCAACGCCTGTCCTAAATGTGAGGTTCGTCCACACCAGCTAGGTGCCAACGCGAACACAGCATATCAGGCCCGAGATTATGCGACATACGAGGAACTCGAGCAGCAACTTTGCGACGAGTCGGAGATGTCAGATTCAGACCTGACCCACCCCACACTCAACGCTCTGGGTGTCAAGATCGGGCGGAACGTCTTCCACGGGCTCCGATGGGTGTCTGCGCCAGACTTGCACCAGCCCGATCTCCTTCATACAATTTACCTGGGACTGTTTGAGCACATGATGGATTGGATTCAAGGATTTCTCAAGAAACATGGGCGACTACAAGCATTTGATAATGCTTGGAAGTCTTTGCCGCCGTACCCCGAGTTCTTTGTTCCCAAAAAAGCTTACCGTGAGGTTACGCAGTGGCAAGGGAAAGAGATGAGGAATTTGGGGCGATGTCTTTTAGCAGTTTTAGCTGTGGCGTTGACACTGCCGGACGGTGCACAACAGCTACCTTTCAAACGTGCGCTTGCTTGCGTTGGGTCATTACTCGATTTCAGTTTGATGGCGTAATATAAAGGTCATACAGCAGAGACTATAGGTTATATGGAATAATATCTCGACAGGTTTCACGCCAGGAAGGATATCTTCTTAGAATTTCGAATGTCGAAACAGACACGAGCCGAACTTAAGGATCAGGTCCCGGGGATACGGCATCAGCAAGCCCAGTTGAATGAATCTCACCTCAGGTCGAAGGTACGGAAAATACGCGAGCAGCATCGCGGGCAGGAGGACGACCAACGAATGCAATTAATTCAGTCAAAATGTCATTTCAACTTCATCAAGATGCATCTGCTATCTCACTTCCGTGGTCACATATACCAGTTTGGAAATATTCCCATGTATTCAACTGAATTTGGGGACCTGGCGCATAAGGATCAGATTAAGGACGGATGGCGACGATCGAATAAAAACAACGCCTCCAGGCAGATTCTGAGCAGCTATAGCCGACAACACGCGATCCGAATGAGCCTTTTAAACCTAGATTCACTAAGACGCCAAGGATCTCATATTCCTGCAGACGTTGTCGACCTTTTGAACAAAACCAGTACCGGACCTGCACCGGGGGCTGAGTCCCGTCTTCGAGTCCTGAAGGGGCACTGTGGTGATGTTGCATGTCTTGTCGAATTTTGCAATGCCCTGAGTATCACCACCGAAAACAGGAGTACTGAATTAATCCGATATAGCCGCCAGACGCTGCCCGTAGAGCGTCGCCTCCCCGACGATCCTGCCATACTTCGACTCCTTCCCGTTGAACTACTGACGCAACTCGAAATCCCAGTTCCCGCCTTTCAGGAAACCGATATTTACGACATCCACCGGGCAAGATCTACGGGATCCGGGCTTTTTTGAAACCAGGCTAGTCGGAATGATTGGGTTTGGGTCCAGGCAGGCGGGGAGCAAATGTATGGCGCGCTCCGCGGCCGTCTTCCGGGAAAGCTCATGGCACTCTTCAAACTGCGAGATTGTAGGCGCCAGAAGACAATACATCGACTCGCTTGTGTTCAGATATTGAGTGCAGTTAACTCTGGGCGTCCATCAGAATTACACGATCTTGTCACCGTTCAGCTTAGACCTGATGCGAGAAGGTTTACCATAGTGGACATAGGCACGATACTTGGGCAAGCCCACCTGGTTCCGGAGGCAGACGGGCGATGGCTGGTCAACAGTCGCATTGATTTAAGGACGTTCAATGAAATATATTGACCAACCTCGTGCAGACGCATTGATTATGCGACACTCAGACCTTCTAACACCAGACGCGAATCCTCCTACGACAAACAGGCAATATGGCCCTAGAATGATAAAGGTCTCTTGATAGCAAGCTGTACGTAGAAATAATATAATATGATTAAGACAAAGTGCTAGAAATCAAGTGTCCGCCGGAGGATCTGCAAACCTGCTGTGAGGAAACCATGACATGCTTGCCCGCGAGGGGTCGTCGATATCGTGGATAGGGGACGCGAGGCAGGCTCCGATGTCTATCAACTGGTATGAATGTCGCGGCAACGTAGGGAGGCACGCATACGGATCGCCACCAGCAGACAATACAGCGGAGCGTAATCGGGAGTGTAGCGAGTGTTGCGTTTCAAGTCTGACGTTATCCCGAAGTGGCGAGAGCAGGCAGGAGGAACTGGACGGATTGTAGGATTGTTGCGCGACGCTATGAGGGAATCCGGAGAAAGAAGCTAGGAGCGGAGCGTCAGGAGGGGGTGACACCAGGAGCTCATCGTAGGGGTTTGAAAGGAGGGTTGGCTGCCGTAGGACATGGTCCGGATATCGCGGTGACAGAGGGGGGCGCCAGGCGGGAATCCTGAGGATGGAGGGCGGGGCTGAGCATCAGGTGGTGAGGCAGACGCAAGGCCGCGAGCGATGTGATCAGAGCGACGGTTTTGCAGTAGCAGCGTAGGGCTGATCCGAGACGTTCGACCGAGGGG